TACTGACTGGGCCATCTCCCCAGGTTTGTGACTTCCACTTATCGAGAGACTGGAGCCAGAGTTTGGGATGAGGGCTTTTCTTCCCTCTCCTGCCCCTTTTTAACCTACCTCAAGGGCACCGCTCGGAGTTAAAACACCAAGAGGCAAGGGTCACTGGGCATCATTTCAAAGGCTAGCTACCATGGAAAACTTGTTCCGGCATTCTGGCTGGAAGAGGGGTGTGCTTTTAGTTGGTGATAGCTAGTCTTGACAACAGACACAAGCTGAGGTTCAGATCTGTGACGTGGGTGTCTGCCACTCACCCACACCACATGGTCAGTGTGACTGGTTGAGACTCAGACCAAGACTTGTCTCCTCCCTCCACCCGAGAACACACTCGCACAGTTAAAAAGCTCCTGTGTTCTGTTAGTTAGACATTTATATAAAAGCCTTTCATTATTTTCAGATAACCTCTTAGAGAATCTTCTAGTCACTATTTTGATGCTTAACAGCCTTCACTATTAAGGAATATTTTAATTTCTTCAATTGCATATTTACTTTAATATATATTTATTTATTTTATGTGTATGAGTGTTTCTCTTGCATGCATATGTGAGCATGTGTGTGTCTGATGCCCTTGGAGACCGGAAGAAGGGGTCTGATCTCCTGGAACTGGATTTACAGACAGCTGTGAGCCACCATTTGGGCTCTAGGACCCAAACTGGGACCTCTGCAAAAGCAGTCAGTGCTCTTAACTGCTGAGCCATCTCTCCAGCCCTTCTCTCAGTATCTTAAAAGTTATTCCTCTTCATGTGTGTGGCAGATATTACTTAACTGTGTTAGGTACATTGGTTTCATTTATGCTGCTTTTATTTAACTATGTAAAGAAATGTTGTTGTTTCACCTTGCCTTCCTAAGGTCCCCGATTGGTCTAATAGAAACCTGAATGGCTGGGCAGGAGAGGGATAGAAGGGGTTGGTGGGCAGACAGTAAGTAGAGGAGGAATCTAGGCTCAAGAGGACAGAACAAGAGAGGATGAGGGTGAGAGACAGGGAGATGCCCGGAGCCAGAGAACCAGACGGTCACCAGCCAGCCAAACACAGAGTAGGACGCACAGGATGAAGGAAAGGTAAAAAGCCCGAGGCAAAATGTAGATGAACAGAAACAAGCTAAATTAAGTCATAAGAGCTAGCAAGAAATGAGCCTAAGCTGAGGCCAAACATTCATAACTAATCATAGGTCTCCACGTCATCATGGGGGCTGGCAGACCAAGAAAGCCTGCTACACATCTGATTGCACTAATGGCAGATAATAAAGCAGCGGTCAGCCTCTCCTCTATTTAAATAACCCTCCATGGTAAGTATTGGATCCACGGCTATTGGGTATCCTCAGCCAATGCAATAAGCCAAGCCAAACTGAATTACTAAGTCCAGATTTAATAAATAGAGCAAAGCACAGCACTCCTGGGTGACTCTCAGAAAGGCAGGAAAAGAACGACGTAGCAGGTCTGGCGTCCAGATCTTAAATACCTTGTAGGCGTGGTCTTGACCAGCTCTGGGGGAGGTGCTGACCCTTGGCGGGCTTTCTGAGGGGCGGAGTCTGGAATGGGAGGAGTGAATCTGAGCTGAGCTTCCCAACACTCCATACATTCAATGCCTTTACATTTGTTCTCCTTGGGCAAAATGATTCAATTTTTGTTAGCTTTTTTTCTCATACTGACAGGAATTTCTGGTGTGTGTGTGTGCGTGTGTGTGTACCTTTGAGCATGGAAGCCAGAAGACGTCATCAGACCTCGCAGAGGTGGAGTTACAGATCTGTGGGGATGTTCACTTGGCTATGTCCTGAGAACCTAGCAGCACTCATTTCTCCGGTCTGACTTTTCTCTTGTTTTGTTTGCTTTTAAGCGTTGTACTAAAAAGGAACTCTCTGGAGAGCTGACTCAGCAGTTACAGCATTGGCTGCTCTTGCCGAGGGCCCAGTTCGGATCCCTGCACCCACGTGGTGGCTCGCAACTGTCTGTAACTCCAGGGAATCCAACACTCTTTTGACCTCCTGGCCTCAGTAGGCACCAGGCCTGCAAGTCATACACTGACATACATGCAGGCAAAAACAAACAGACAGAATTTTTAAAATTCCCATGTTTGTGGATTTTCACTAGCCTCCATCTCTCCCCAGGAGTCTGTCTTTTAGACTTTTTCACTTTTCCCATTTCCTCATTCTTTGTACTCTCATTTGGATGCAAAGTTGGGCTTTTTGTCTCTGAGAGTCATGAGTCACTCCAAAATGAAAAGAAGACAAGTTGAGGCAACAAGCGAAATACACAGGACAGCCCTTCTGGGCAGCTGTCACCAGTGCATCTGTGGCCCTAGGGTGACAGAGTCTTGTTGAGCCTTTGATGCTGCCTTCGTTCTTGAATGTCTTCTGTAGACCTCAGACAGGGCTGGTTCACAAGCCTCTGCTAAGGGCCACGTATTTCACAGCTCAAATCTGAAAGCCTGTGAGACGGCTTTCAGATGCAGTTCCAGAGTACGACACTAAGGGGCAGCACACACCAAAGGAAACCTTTAGGTTAACAGGAATCTGCCTGGCGTTGGAAATCTAGCACAGAGGAGCCAAACTCAGCTCTTAAATCCAACTGTACCATTTTAACTTTTGCTGTTTTTTTTTCTGTTAGAAGTTTTTTGTTGTTTTGTGTTTTTAAATTTGAGACAGTTTCTCTGCGTTGTCTTGGCTCTCCTGGAAGTCACTCTGTGTGTGGACCAAGCTGGCTTCATTCAAACTCACAGAAATCCACCTGCCTCTGCTTCTTAAATGCTAGGTTTAAAGGAATGTGCCACCACCATCTGGCTCTACTAGAAGTTTCACCTGCCACTTGACTTCTCCAAAGAGAAAGTTTTGCTGCTGAATACGATATTGTTGAGACCCATGCACGCCATTCAATTAGCCCATGTTTGTGCATATGGAACTTAACCTAGCAGTATTTAATTCCAAATTCGAACTGTATTTCATCAAAACAACCCCCTCTCCTTTTGATGAGCAAAATTTTCAATGCAGAATAAAGGCAATTAAATGCTCAGGCAAGTAAGCTAGACAAAGCCCAGTTCTTGGGAGACCACGGACCCCTTCCCTACTTCATTGTCCACCATGACTGACTGGACTCCCTCTCTCCTCCCTCCCACCCCCTCCAATCCTCTTTCTCTCTCCTTCTCGACCCCCTCCCATTTCTAAAATAGGTATTGTTTTGTAGCTCAGGCTTGTCTTAATTCACTACATGTCTCAGGCTGACCTTGAGTTTGTCATCCTCCTGCCTCAGCTTCTCAAGCGCAGGCATTATAAGTATGCACCACACAGGTGTCTACAGGCGAGCGGTTCCGAGTGCTCCTGTGTGCCTAACCGTGCCCTCAGTGCTGTGGTCTACAAAGACGGACCAGGCATGGAGCACAGGACTATGGAAATCATTCCCCGTGTGGAGTGTGGAGAGTGTGTGACAGTGACTACAGGAATGTCCCCACAGCCCAGTGCTAACAACGATAGAAGTGGGCTGCTCTGATGGGTGGGGTGGGGGAGAATGCTGGAAAGTTGCCACAGGAGGGGATATGCACATTCAGTCGTCAGTGAGCAGGTGGGAGGCAGGCAAGGCAAGAGAGAGTGCTCAGAATCTGTGTGCAGGCAGGGGTAGACCTGCCAGTGCCCAGACGTGTGGGTGGTGATCGTATCGTGACCGACTACTGTGACGGCAGAATGGGTATCAGACGGCACGAGCCCTGACAGTCAGCCCAGAGTGGTGTAAGGAGCCTTGAGGCCTGAAGGTGGCAAGGAGTGTCCAGGAGTGGGCGTTTAGGGGGCGACAGAAGCTGGGGCAGAAAATGACAGTGGGTGCCTGAGGTGGCCCAAGCAGGAGGCGGGAAGAGGGGGGCGGTTTTAGTTTATGGGATTCTTCAGCACAAAGGGGCCCAGGTCATCCCTGATGCTCTGCAGAGCTCTGGGCTAAAAGTTTAGAAATTATAGATGCGCTCAAGAGCTGGAGCATATAAGAGCATTCAACATTGAGGGAAACTTGCCACGACGACTGGGGACAGTCTTGGCAGGAAACTGAGCTCCAAGAGGAGACTAGCTTTGTCTGTGTCCTTTGCAGGCCACACACTCCCTCCAGGAGAAACAGCAGTAGGCTTCTCTTCAGGCCATAGCGCTTCTGGCCTCCACACCGGGTTTTTATGCGGCTGGTGGGGAGCCCTTGTGCTTGTGCCAACCCCCAGCTGTGGGAACAACACATCTTGGCCAAGGTCTATTGTTCCCATACCCAGCATCCTTTCCTTCCCACTTTTCTTACCCAGGAATCTCCCTACGCATCCCCGCACACACAGCTCTCCTATCACCACAGACAGGCAATGCACTCCTGTGCTTGATAAGGCTAACAGCGGCCTCCTGACAAGCCAGGAAGACTTAGAGCCCAACCACCTTGTCACAGTGTTACCCAGGTACTAGTTGAATCCTCAGTGGTTAGTTAGGCAGACACAAACTTGAGTGTGTGTGAGCATACACACACACACACACACACACACACACACACACACACGCTGGTTTGAACCGGTGTTTCTTCCTTGCTCCTTTTAGACTCTATCCTAGTCATCAACTTCCTAGCAATAAACTATCCTTCTACACACATTTCCACATGAGGGTTTTTTCTTCCCACTCTGATGCTGTCTTCCCTCAGGCCGGGCGAGCACCCATCTTCCTCCATGGCCCTTGGGGCAGCAGCGCACACCTGTTCGTTCTGCTGATTAAAAACAGACTCAGAGGCCTAGCCAGTTGAGTCTCTTGTCGCCGATAATTGTCATTGGTTGGAAACAGGTGTGCCAGGTGGAAACCCAGCGACCAGTGCTCAGATTGTCATCGTGAACACCTGTAGACAGCCGCCTCCTGCCAAGCGGGTAGGAAGTAAGGGATTTTCTTTCTCTTTTGCTTTATTTTTTCAATTCTGCATTCTGACATGACTCTGGGTCTATCTAGCTGCTAACCCATGAACTGCTGGAGGCACACAGATTGGAGGGGTGGGAATTAGGGAGGAGAAAAACCATCTGCAAAGCTCTCATTTGCAGCTTGCTCTAGAATGTGTGGAACACTGTCTTTAGTGGACAGTTATTACCATCACTTGTGCATTCTATTTTCAGGGAAGAGTCAACGTGTCCCCCCATCTGCTCCCTTTGAACAAGTGCCTTTCGCCTCCCTGTCTTGGTGGCCTGACCCAGGAGTAATCCACTCTGCTGCCGGCATGCCCACCCAGCTGGAGATGGCCATGGACACGATGATTCGAATCTTCCACCGGTACTCTTGCAAAGAGGGGGACAGGTTCAAGCTCAACAAAGGGGAACTGAAGATGCTATTACAGCGGGAGCTCACAGAGTTCCTCACAGTGAGTCCAGTTTTCTACCTCATCTGCTGGTGCGTAGGTGGCATATGGCTTTGGGGACAAGTGTTACGTACGTTCTGTCTATAATTTGTTTCAAGACCCTAAATGCTGGGAAGAGCCCTGGAGATCTATGCTTTCGGTATACACTGGCAGGGGCCATTTTCCTTTCTGCTATATGAAGCTCCAGGAACAATTACCATTGTTAATTATAATGATAACCCTGGGTATAACTAGCTATATCTTTTATTGCTGCACCAGAATATTGAATATTGGGTTTAAAAAAATCTCAATGGATGATCAACACCTAACCTTAGCAGTAAGGAAAATGGCTCCTAGGTACTTCTTTTTGTATGTTTAAGGGACACACACACACACACACACACACACACACAATACATGTTGTTTATCTGAAATTCAAATTTATCCAGGTGTCTAGTACTGGCCATGTCTAGCAAACTTGGTACTAAGAACCTTCAAATATGTTGAAACATCTTCATAGCATGTGGATAGAGACTATCCTTCCCATGGGACAACTAAGGGAATTCTAAGATGTTACATGATTGCTCAAAAGCTTACTGTTAGTAAATGATAGGGTTACGCATTGTCCCTTTTGACTCTGAAGCCTCTATTTATAAGTCGCAAAACTATCTTCAGGTGTCCTGGTCCTCCACTGGTGTCACTCTCCTGTCTCCCAGTGTCCTGGGTTTCTGCCTGCAGTGTCCAGTAGGTGGGTTTCCAGCCTCCACAATTTACTGAGTCTGCTACTGTTGACTTTGCTTTTCTGGGCCTTTGGGACTGAGCTGGTATTCTGTGGACCTGGGACAGGGGCTAGACTCTAGGCTGGCTCAGATTTCTTGTAAATAGACTCTTGGCAATCGCTTTCAGGTGCTAAAATGAGAACGAAGATTTTCGTGCAAATAAAAGGAAGCTGTGAGCTCAGTTGCCATGACACGCCAGGCCTCCGAGTTAGAAACTTTCTTTTTCTTTTTAGTGCCAAAAGGATCCCCAGTTGGTGGATAAGATAATGCAGGACCTGGACGCCAATAAGGACAACGAAGTGGATTTTAATGAATTTGTGGTCATGGTGGCAGCTCTGACAGTTGCTTGTAATGATTATTTTGTAGAGCAGCTGAAGAAGAAAGGCAAATAAAGACAACTAGCAAGCCAACGAAAGGCAGGGATAGACCCAAAGTTCTGTATCTACTGTGAGTCTGTACCCTTCCTAGAGACACAGTGATATGACTTCTAGATGTTGTATATGTCTACTTACTAGCATTAAGTTAGATTTACCTTGACGAACTGGCTTTATACAGATATTCCAGATCTTATGCTCTCTGTTGAAATTTACCCGTGTTGTTAAAAATGTTATGATTTATTTGTCAAATAGAGAGCACCCACAAATTTAGCCGCTTTTGAAATGAGACTCAAAACTGATGAGTTTCCAAGATCTCATTCTTAAATTGTGTTTTGCAATTCCTTCATTACTGATGAGATTACTCGGCTCTCCCTATAGGCTCCCGATTGTGCGTCAAATAGCAGAAACAGTGAAGGGCTGCGAGCAGAAAGTCTGGTAAAGAGAAAGACTGGCCTTTCGTGAGTTAGACTGGGGTGGGCGGATTCAGGACTAGGTGTCCAAGCCGTAAGAGCTGAGGACAGCAAGTCTTAGGAGTTGGTGTGTAAATACCCTCCCATGCCCCTGGGGCTGAGTGTTTTCCCAGTTCCCAGAGGTTTCCCTAGGGTTAAGCAGCATCAGGCCTTGGGGGAAGGGGATACTTGCCTCTTCCCTGTCTCCTTCTTAGTCTTACTACAGTGCTCCAACTTATCTGCTGTGCCTGAAATAAATGACCTGCACAAGAATCCTCAAGGGATCCAAACAGTGACAGGCAATCTGGAGGGCCGGAAGAAAGGGAGTTGTAATTTGAAGTGATGATCCTGGGTACCAGGGAAGATGGTAGCACAGAGGGCGACTGTGAAGGAGGCTCTGCCGTGTTTGGGTGAAAGACCAAGGTGGCTCACCGTGGCTCAAGCCAGGATTCTGCGATGGAGGTGAAGGCGTGGGGGTGATGGATGTGAAGGCGTGCCGCTGAAGGGTTTGTGGGGAGAGACTGACAGATCTTTGAGGGTTGACACGGCAGACTGTTGTTAGCCTGACACGCAGCCTGTCTTTCTCTACACATCAGAATTCTGTTTATGCATAGTGGCAAGGGACCATTGAAAAAGATTTGTTTCCCAATATGTTGTACCAGTGCGGGAGCCGGGCTTACCATACAACTGGATTAAGAAGGGAAAATGAAGCCTGCCAGGAATCACAGGGAGTGTTTTGGCTTTAGGTCTTCTACTTTCTACCTCTTATATCTTCCATTTCCTTTCCTTTGGAAAGTCAAGGTGAGGCTTGGGGGTGGAGCTTCCATCTCCCAGCGAATCAGAGCTAATTTATTCTGAGTCAAATAGGAGTGACCCAAGGCCAGGGAGACAGAAGGAAAACCAGGAGGGCGTGGCCAGGGAGCTAGAAAGAAAGCCAGGAGGGCGTGGCCAGGGAGATAGAAGGAAAACCATGAGGGCGTGGCCAGGGAGATAGAAGGAAAGCCAGGAGTGGTCAGGAGACAGAAGGAAAGCCAGGAGGGGGTGGTGCCTTGGAAGCATTCAGAGCTGGGAATAGGTGAAATCTTGAGGAGTAGGATGAGAAGGGAGGATGGGTGGCTAGGCTGTCAAGGCAGCGGTGATGTCAGCGATGCTGAAGAGGCTGATTTGGATTAGAAAAAGCCCCAGTCCCTGGCCCACAAGTAGTAGGTTCCCAATACATATTTCTGTAATAAACACATGAAGGAACTTGCCAGCCATTGGCATTCCAGACTGAAGATCTGCTGTGTTTAATTTACGTAGAACAATATTTTTGCCTTCTTCAAATCAGTTTTAAGCAGAGAGTTTGGGGAGATTTCAGAGGTGGGCAAAGCATTCAAGAGAAAAATCTAGACTTTGCAATGCCCTTACTCCTGCCTTTTAAAGGGGTGGGAGAAAGTAAACAAAATTGGGCATGTATTTTGGCTGTGTGTAGGTTCTTTCCTTTTTTGCCTTTTAAAAGAAATTGAAAATAAAAACTTCATGCAATAGAGGTTGTTTTGTTGTGTCCATGAAGGCCTGGGCGTCCTTAGGGGCCTTCACACTTAACATTTGGATTTGATCTTAAGCTTACATTTTCTAAAACGACTTACTGAAACATGAAAAGTGACTCCCAAACCGTCCTTGTTGTTTTGTTCTTGGAAGGATGTTCTCCAAGCAGAAGTAAGTGGGAAAACAATGTTAATTTCATGGTTTTTCTGAAAATCAATCAAAAGTAGAGAAAAGCAATTTATGTCTCAAATTAGATTTTAAATGAGTAAGAATTGCACAATGTACCAACAATTCTTCTCAAGTAAATGGGATTTTCTTTCTTTCTTACATCCCCTCCTCCCTTTGGAGGCAAAATTACTAAGTGCCTATGTCCAGGGACTCTGGTCTTTTTTTTTTTTTTCATGTCTAGAGTTTGCATAAACTCGAAAGTTTAAAGACACTCACAAGCTGTCTTTGAATGGGTGCCCATTAGCGGTCATTATTTACTGAGGTCCATCATGAAGAGCAGTTTGTAGGAGACAATAGCCTGAGACTGTGGTGTGAGTCCTGGGTTTGAGAGCTACTGACCATGCTAGGACACTGAACAAGAATGGGGCCAAGGAAGTCTTCCCAGAGGCGGAGGTGTGAGTTCAAGTGTTTGCTAGGACAAAGACATGGGGAGCGTTTTACATGAGAAACATGGGCAAGGCAGTGGCATGGCCTAGCAGGCATGGTTTGGGAGAGTATCCCACCGTGTGTGGTGCAGGAAGGCAGGATTTTGGGGTAACGGGTGCTAATGTAAGAAATGTGAAGTTTCTTTTGAAACGGCCTCCTTCAAGGTTTAAATCTTCACAGCTGAGGTGCAGAGCTCTTTCTTCATCTTGTGATGGCCACACTGAAATAAAGATCTCTGAGCCAGGTGTGATGGCTCGCACATGTGAGACCAGCACTGGCGAGGCTGAGGCAGGAGAATCATTTGAGTTTTTTTTTTTTGTCTCAAAAAACAAAAGCAAACAGTAAGTAGATGACAGACAGACAGACAGACAGATATAGATATGCTCCACTACCTTGTCCCAATATTCTAATTTATTTCAGTAGGACCTAGGCATCCATGCTCAATCAGATTTTCACCCAGTGTTAAAACTCACTTAAGGACCTGCAAGATGGCTTTGAGTTGAGAATGCTTGAGGCTCTTCCTGAGGACCCAGGTTTGGTTTCCAGCACTCATGCTAGGTGGCTCACAAATGCCTGTAACTCCAGCGCTAGGGGCTCTGACACTGTCTTCTGGCTTCTATGGGCACCCATAAGCATGTGGCTTGTGTGTACCACTCCCTCCCACACATACTAGAGCTACAATCTTATCTACTACAGACACTTTGCATGGTTCTAGATATCGTGTTGTCTAATGACTGCAGTGTTATCCCCCCAGTCCTGCTGTCTTACTTTAACTGACAGAGTCCTGCTTCTCTAGCCTAAGGTTCCATTTATCTCCAGTGTCCCCTACTCTCCACCCCTCTGTTTAACCCTGGCTTCCTCCTCCCTAATGTCCTTGTGTTGTCTGATTTCCTCCAAAGGGAGTAAGACTCAGTAAGAACTAATGACTGTATTCCTAAACCACTCCCCTACTCAGTCATTCAAAGTTCTCCCCTTTAATCCTAGAGTCTAGATTGTTTCTATTAGCAGTATCTAGAAATGTGGTCCCTCTGGCTCCTCCCACACCTAGGAAGGATGATCAAATGTTCATGTGCCCTAAAACCGGATCGTCTGTCTGTTCCTAGATAACTCTCATTCACTATCTAAGTGGGTTTTTCAAAATGTATTCAGCAGCACGTGCGGTTGTGTTTTGCATGTGGAGGTCAGAGGACAGCTTGAAGGAGTCAGTTCTCTCCTACCTTGTGGATCCTGGGAATCCAACTCAGGCCATCAGGCTTGCTTCTGAGCCATTTTGCTGTCCCTAGTATGAACTTTAAACAGCAGGATGTTGGTATGTTCTCAGTTTGGTTAAAAGAAATACACGAGCTGGCAAGATAGCTCAGATGGCAAAGGCACACACACACACACACACACACACACACACACACACACACTATTACATAAATGCATGCCATTCATTTTAAAGCACTGTAGCATGGGTTTTAAAAGGAAATCTTAAGGGACTTTTCTAATATACATTGAACAAAGCTTGTGAGACACAGTTCAAGAATGCCTAAAAGAAAGCTTTATACATCAAATCATCATGTGAGGGGCCATTGAGAGGGCTCAGCGGGTAAAGAGCTTGCCATGCAAGCGTGAGAACCTGGGTTCGGATCCCCAGAGCCCACATGAATCTTCACTTAGTAATGTGCAGCTGTAATCACACTGATTCTGTGGCGAGATGGGAGGAGAGATCCCAGAAGCCCATGTGCCAGATAGTCTGATGTTTGCAGTTGCAAACAAAAGAGACCCTGACTCAAACAAGGAGGACGGTAAGGACGAACACCCCAGGCTGCCCTTTGACCTCCACATGTGTGCTATGCATGATGAGTGTCCACACTCAAAGCCACACAACCCACAGACACAGACTTAAAAAGATCACTACATCAGAAAAAGAGACTCTTGAATCAATATTCCTTACAATTTCATGTGAGAAGTTGATTTATTTATTTCAACTATTAGAATATATAGGAAGAGATTCCCAGCCTTTCTTTCAAGAAATACTTATTGAATGTGTATTTGCGTGTGCCCAAGAGTGTATGTATGTACACCTTGTGCATTCGGGAGCCTGTGGGGGATCAGAAAGACCATCAGCTTTCCCAGAGCAGGAGTTACAGATGGTTAGAGCCACCATGTGGGTGTTGGGAGTTGAACCCAGGTCCTCTGCAAGAGCAGTCAAAGCTCTTAACTGTTGTGGCATCTTTCTAGCCTGCCTGCCCTTAATTTTATCTAGCATCTTTTAATGTGATTCATAGACAGAACATTCCTGAATGACAAGCTTTGTTGTTTTACTGAAACCTAAGGAAGTGCTGACTACACAATTCCACAATCACAGCCAGTTCTGAAAGTGCAGCCCCGGTACCGGAGTGGACATTTGACTAGCTGGTCTCCTAGAGGCTGAGGAAAAGCTTAGGCCCAAACCAGCAATTGGCTGAATATCAAGGCTAAAGTTGACTCTTGAGGCATCAATGTCAAATATTTCCATTATGTCCCAGCACAACTTGCTGGTGGTCAACATCTAACTTATTTCCTGCTCTTAGCACTTGTGAATGGTGCTGTGATGGCCAACCATAAACACTTGGCAGTCTTCAAGGAACTTTCTGTAGGATTAAAATTAAAACTGACTTTATGCCAAAACATATGCATTTAAAATTCTTTTTGATAGCGCCATGTTCCTGTCTAGAAACCTTATGCCACAAACTTAGTGGCATAGGCCTATACTACCAGCTATTCAAGAGGCCATGGCAGGAGGACCACATGTTCAAGGTCAGCCTAGGCAGTTTCGTGACACTGTTTCAGTAAACAGGAGTGGGACTGGGTGAGTATATAGCTTAGTGGCAGAGTGATTTGCTAGTATGCATGAGGTTCTGAGTTCAATCCATAGTACTGTAAATAGACAAATAATAAACTAATAAACCTACCAATTTGCACTTCAGAATTTCTGTGTAAATCTTGTTTTTTTTAATATCATCACCAACATTGGCTATTTTCCTTTTTTTTTTAAAGCAAGATGATATTTTATTTTATTTTTAAAAAAATAGCTTGCTCTTAGAGCGGCTTAAAGTCACAGGAAAATGGAGTAGAAAGTAGAGTACAGCCCTGGAACCCACTAGGTACTCTCCCAGCTGTCATCTCCACACACCAGAATGTTCTATTTGTTACAAATGAACCTATATCAACATGGCCACCCAGGCTGCAGCTCACATTAGGGTTCACTCTCTGTAGTGTACATCCTGTGGATTCGGACACATGTCTGATGCTATGCCCATCACTATAGAATCTTATCAAATGCTCTCATTGCCTTAAAAAGCCACCTATGTCCATCTAGTCTCCCTTTCCTCTGCCTAACCCTTACAGCCACAAAGGCCCTTGTTGTCTCTATTGTTTTTTGCCCAAAAAATGACATGTATATAAAGTGATGCACTATGTAGCCTTTCCAGACAGGCTTGTTTTACTTAGCAATATACTTTAGAGTATCTTCTATGACCTTTCATACCTTGGTAGTCCATTGTTTTTTAGTGCTAAATTCTACTGTTCAAATGTCTTTTAGTTTATCTGGTCATCTACAGAATGATGTCTTAGCTGTGCCCACATGTTTATACTTATAAATAAAGTCATTGGAAACACACCAGTTGTTGCATAGGTGTTTTTTCTTTATTAAAAGTTTATTTATGTGTACATGTATGTGTATGATTATGTGCATGAGTGTGTGGTGCCTTCAGAGGCCAGAAGAGGGCATCAGATCCCCTGGAGCTGGAGCTACATGTGAACAGCCTTACACAGTGCTGAGAAGCAAACAGGAAACTGATCCAGTCTAAAGAGAAACAGAGCTCACACCTTCGATCCCAGCACTTGGAATGACACCCCCTTTTTTTTTTTTTTTGGTTTTTACGAGACAGGGTTTCTTTGTATTGTTTTGGAGGCTATCGGTCCAGCACGGCCTCGAACTCACAGAGATCCGCCTGCCTCTGCCTCCTGAGTGCTGGGATTAAAGGCGTGCGCCACCACTGCCCGGCCGGAATGACACCCCTTTAATCCCAGCACTAGAGATGAATATTAGGCAGCAGGAGAAAGGAGCTCAGTGCAGTCTGAGGATTCTTGGAGACAGGATCGCCCATTCGGTCTGGGGTAGAGGTTAGAGGTAGTGGCTAACTGCTTTGCGTCTCTGATCGTTCAGCTCCCCACCCCAATAACTGACTCTGGGTTTTTATTATTAAGACCAATTAGAATTCATGCTACACTCTCTAGCCCCAAGAATATTGTTTGTATATATTTTTTAGATATATACATTTTAAAATTTATAAATGTAGCCAGGTGTGGTGGTGCA